GCACGGCCGTGCAGCCTCCCTGGTCTGCCCGTGCAGCTTGCTCAGCCTCTGTTTAATGCTTCGTTTCTCCCTCGTCCGGACTCCGAATCAATCGCCGTTTGATCCCAGACGCTCGTAGTCTCGTCCTCTTTCGTTTCATAACAAGCTTGCATGATTCTTTGTCCATAAAGTGAGGTAGAAATCCATTCTTCTTCAGGTCATGCCCGAGTTTCTTCTCTCGAATCGTCAATTGATCTCTGATTGACTTGAAACTTGCGCCTATGCTTCACTTTATGTGCTAGGACCTGAAATGGGACAAAGGAATACAACCTAGCATAAAATAGGCCAAAGACGCAATAATTCAAGCTCAAACAATCAAGAAACAAAGGGGAAAATATGTGCAAATACCGAGTCATCAAATCCCCCCACACTTAACTGTTTGCTTGTCCCCAAGCAAACCTAACTCAAACCAATGCAACTCTTCAGACCTCTATAGCAACAAACAACCCAGATCGTAGGTAGAGGACTTCCTAGATCATTTAGCAGCTTACGAGGTCAACCGACGCACAAGTCATCTCATAACTTCTTCGGCGAGTCGGCATCATGGCAAATAGTGAACAGAGGACAAATGAATTGTGGATGAGGAGATTCTCAAAAACAACAGATCATGGACTCACATTTTTCAAGGTGCTCTATTTTCTGCTTCTTGAAGATGGTTGAGACCCCTTTTTTTTCTGTTTTGCTTGTTTTCTGATATTTTTCTTTTCTTTTTCAAGGGTCCCAACCTGCTCTTACCGGCCATGCCAGGAGCGGATGTCTCGAGCCTCGTGCGGGGGAAAGACATGTAAGGGGGCTGGAGGTAGTAGGTGGAAATTGGGAACGAATTCCCGTCTCCCCTTACACACTTTCGCCCTATTCGCACGGGAGACGTTTATTTTGAAGCACATTTTCGAGCACCTGTTATTTTCAAAACATGATACAAGAGTCCATGACAGGTAGAGAATCCACAACACCACACAATTCAAGGGTCCTAAGATCACTAATTCACTCAATCAACCAACTCAATATGAAGAAGAAATGAGACTTCGTAAATGCATCAACATCCTCCATAGTGCTACACTACCTCCTTAGGTTGCATATTACTATAAAGACTGTCAATTCAAAGCATACTGAGCAGGCAATTGCATGGAACACGTACTTGGAGCCCTCAAATCGAAATTTGGACAGTGGACTAGGCTCCAAGACACAAACAGTCAAACATTCACACACATACATAATCGAACATCCCCCCACACTTAAGAACGACATTGTCCTCAATGGAGGAAAGATAAGGAGGGTAGAACGAAGTTACCATATCAACGGTGAATGATTGTGGACGGGGAAGGCGGTGCATTCCAGGAGGACAAAGTAGTCGAAACACAAACACCACACAAAATCTCACAAAGGTTGAATTATTGACTCTGAAATCAAAGAACAAAACTGACTCAACCGAAGAGAAATAGAGAAAGAGATGCAAACCGACTGGTTGGGTTGCCTCCCAACAAGCGCTTCTTTCACGTCGTGAGCCGGACGATGGCTCCTAAGTTTCGGTCCATGAGAGAACCTCCTTGAAGTTGAGGTTCTCGTCGATGAGGTGGAGTCTCAAGTCATGAGCATGTGATGTGGCAGGTGATGAAGGCTCATGTACTTGATGCAGATGAAGTCTCCACCCTCGAGACCTCTCCTTCTCTTCTCTCGTCTCATTGCCCCAAACCAGATATGACAGCATCGATTGGCCACCATCGCGTCCACCAAGAGGGACCGATGTCGAGGTGGCCTTGGTCTGGCAAAGAGACACTGCAAATGGGTCCTTGCTAAGCAGTTCCTCGATGTTTGGTGGAGATATCACATGTAACTCATGGCCGGTGCAAGCCTCTTCCACCTCAACTTCGTCCTCAGCCTGGACGCCAATCGCCTCTTCAACCTCCCTTCCTTCTTCATGTGGTATCACCCCTGGGAAATGATCAAGAACTCCTCTAGCTTCACTTTCATCATCCTCCACAACTTCTTTCTGCACCCTTTCTTGCTCTTCTTCTTCTAGCACGGATTGGAGAGCAAGTTGCCAAGCAATTTCTTTCATGAGATCTTCTTGCATCTCCTCACTCATGTCCGCCTCTTCAAAGCTCAGTTTGGGGTGTGGGAAGGTGTGGTCGGCTACGACATGACAGGCCTGATCATGATCATCACGGGAGCTCTCCGTGACGACTCCAGTGTGTTCCACAATGCCCTTGTAGCCTTCTTCTTCCTCCTCCTCTTCTTGTATGGTAGCAGAAGGGTGATCTGGAGCAGGTTGCGCCCAAGATAGCTCAAGATCATCGACGCTCTTCTTAAGGCTCAGGAGGATCTCATCTGTTTCACGATAGGCCTGGACACACTGATCCATCCTGGAGCATGTTCTCTCACAATCTCGAGCATACTGCTCCATGAGTAACTCCAGCGCCGATGGCCCTTCTGGTTGTGGGAGAAATTCTTCTTGATAATGAGGTTGTTCTTGATATGCCCAGGGGTCCGGTTGTTCTCCGTAGTAAGGGGGTTGGTACTGGAACCCGAATCCATAGTCTTCTCTGCCTTGATTGCTCCAGGGAGTCTCGGGGTAATACCACCCAGATGGTGGTGGATACCCCCAATGATTGGAGAAGCCATTAGGATCCATGATTCAGATCTGCACCAACAAAAACAAAAACACCCAAGTGAAAAGCAAGGGTGGAAAAGAAAAGAAAAGAAAAACGCTAAAGTAACAAACTTCTGCCTTTCCTAATACTCTAGAAAGTCCCCGGCAACGGCGCCAAAAACTTGATGCTCTAAAACACAACACCTAACAAAGGCCAAGTGTAACCAATGGAAGGGACTGCAGTATAGTGGCTCAAGTGATAAATATCGAATCCACGGGTCTCTAGAGTTACTATTACTCAGCTTCAGTTTATTATTTAGCAAACCAGATTAAGATAAAAGAACTAAAACTACTCTAGCAAACTACAGTTAAAGTTAATCTAATTACAGGTTGGGAACTCACTTAGGTATGATTCCCCCTAGCCACTAGCCAGATTAATGATTGATGATCTCTAACCTGTTTCACTTTCATTCACAATGCGGAGAATCCTTGACTAGACCTTGAGTCTCGACTAAAGGAACAAGGCCCTCTTGAGTCAATTGCCTAGAGGGACGTATCCTTCTCTAGAACAACTGATCAAGACGTTCTGAACTAGACTCCCTCTATCGAAAGGGGTTCTCAATCGATACAAAGCAGTGAATCAACCCTCGACTAAAGCAATCGATCCACTACTATCAATCTATGGTGCTCTATTGACCTAATCAGGTATTCCCTCTCATAGAATCAAAGCAGAATCAATAATCTCGACTAAAGCATAATTGAATCATGAAAACATGCATAGATTGAATATGAACTCAAGATTATCCAGTCAGAGTACTCATACAATCATCCAATCAAACAAACATAGCTAGGGTTCCTCAAAACCTAAGTGAAGGGAAGTTACTCCATAGAGAAGAGAGAGACTGCAGTAAGAATCTTCAGATGATCAGTCTTCAAGTCCGGGCTTGTTCCTCAAGCTTCCAAGGCGAAGAAATCCCTCTTCTCTACTCCAAGAATGCCCTCAAATCGCCCTCTCTCTCTTTGGTTCGTCCCTTGGGTGTTTGGGATCCAAAAATCCAGCTCTCTCTCCTCTTTGGTTCGGAATTTGGCTTAAAACCAGGAAATCCCGACTCGCACGGCCAGGGTGCACGGCCGTGCATATCACCATTCTGGCCGTGCAACTCAAAACGCAGCGTGTCATTTAGTCGAACTTCAGCCCTCTCGCACGGCCAGGGTGCACGGCCGTGCGAGCTTCAGGAGTTGCCCGTGCGTGTCCTCGGCATAAGGCGCACGGCCATATTGCTCACGTGCACGGCCGTGCAGCCTCCCTGGTCTGCCCGTGCAGCTTGCTCAGCCTCTGTTTAATGCTTCGTTTCTCCCTCGTCCGGACTCCGAATCAATCGCCGTTTGATCCCAGACGCTCGTAGTCTCGTCCTCTTTCGTTTCATAACAAGCTTGCATGATTCTTTGTCCATAAAGTGAGGTAGAAATCCATTCTTCTTCAGGTCATGCCCGAGTTTCTTCTCTCGAATCGTCAATTGATCTCTGATTGACTTGAAACTTGCGCCTATGCTTCACTTTATGTGCTAGGACCTGAAATGGGACAAAGGAATACAACCTAGCATAAAATAGGCCAAAGACGCAATAATTCAAGCTCAAACAATCAAGAAACAAAGGGGAAAATATGTGCAAATACCGAGTCATCAGTCTCTCAAAGAAGCCAAAGTTCGAAGACCTCGCCAATGTCACCCTAGGAGAGCCGCACCAATACGGTGAAGCTGAGGACCCCTTGGACATTCAATGCATCTTAAGCTAGTTTAGACAGAAACCCTTTTTAACTTAAGAGGCACTATTATAGATGGGTTTCCTTGGGCATTCAATGCCTCCTTTTCTAGGTTAGTTAAAGGGAAAACCTCCTAATTCGCATTAGCACTTAGGGTTTGGTTGTGGGTGGCCGTCGGAACTCCAATTCGAGGGTGAAGTCAAACCATTCCTTAGTTCATAGGTTGAGAGGGTCACATTAGTGACTTGGATCGTATCCCATTACTCAACCTAGAGTCTAAGAGGGTAGCTTCAGCTTCTTGTTAGACTTCCCTGCGATTTATGACCCCCTAACCACACATGGCCGTTTGAATCTTCAAGTTATAATTGTTAGCTAGGGGGAGCAACACCCGGGTGAAGCTTTCTCAACTAGAGTCAAATCCATTTTACCTTTACAAAGCAATTTAGTTTTTGACCTTTGTTTTCACCAAAACCAATCCACTAGATAATGTTTCAAACAGTCAAAGTAGCGGTACATGGACCGGCCCGACTCGATATTTAAACATACTTGCCCTATATTGCACCCATTTAAGGTTTATACTTGGACCTTAGGTGTGATTTTACTTGATAATCAGAGTGAGTCATTCACCGGGAAGGAAGGGTAATTCTGATCACCGGGCCGAAGATCAGAACCTTCACGGCATTCTAAACTCTTCCCCGACAACACCTCAACACTTTGACATCGATTTTCCGGACATGATGTTGAACAGAACGCGTCTCTCTTGTGGTGGCCGGCGAGATCCTTTCTTTTCTTCTTTGTTCTCGAGTGACGCAGCAGCAGAGGTGGTGGCGGCAACTGGCGGAGCATAGCGAGGGGTCAGGAATTTGCGGCGATGAAAATTTCATAGTTTTAGGATTGGGGTTAAATGTGTAATTTTAGTTTGTTTTAGAGCGTTGGTTTTTGAATTTTAGGGCATTAATTAGTAACTCTCATCCTGTGAAGCGTGATGCATCTAAAATAATAATATACGCAAGTTGGAATTCAAACACTTGTTCTGCCCTTTACATGGGCATCTTCTGGACAGAAGGCACGACACCCAAATTTTACTATTCTTTCCGCCGCCTCTCCAAATTAAAACCAACTACTTCACTTCCCTAGTGAGATTGTTATTATACATGGATTGTTTAGAATGCATTTTTTTAGTAGAAACAATACATGGATTGTTCTGTGATGTGACAGAAACTATCACTCAAAATGAGTGATTGTTATATCTAAACTTTTAGCTGGGATTGGATTGATATTGTTGTGTTGCGATAGTTTTGTCTCAGCTTTTAGTTGATTTGACATACACAATCATATATATCAAACGTTGTATATTACAATGCATCAATTTCGACAATACATGTATAATATTATACATGCATTCATAACAATACATCTATTCAACAATCGCAACTTTCAAACCACCCCGTAGTTTACGATAATGCCTCGTCATGGTTCAAAAAGGTGCGTTTAACCAAACGCCTAAATGTTGGACAACACAAAAAAAATGCTTTGTTTAGGAGTTCCATAATGAGTTAGTAATCCATAACATCAGGGTAGAGTAAGGTAATACCCATGTATCAACTGTGCATATTTAGGCAGAGTTAGGTAGTCAATATCAACAGGAAAACTTATGAAAAACTCAAACTTTTTTAAATATTTTTAGTAGCTCAATAACTTTATGAGCAATTGTCTATGATTGTATGAACTATTAGTTATATTTCTTATTGTTAAGTGTTAACTAGGTGATTAATCATTTTGAACTACAACGTGAAAGTGTTCTCATAATATTATTTTATTCATTATTTGGTATGAATTGATATTTTTGCTTCCAACGATTAGACACAATCAAACGAAGCCCAAGCAAACTAGGCGCTAGACAAGACTTAAACATGTACCTTATACCTAGCGCATTCTTGAACTTTGTTATTAATTATTATTCTTCTCCACTTTCCCTTTTATCCTAAGCTTTCATATTCAGACAAGGGAAATGTAGACTTGAGTTCTAGTCTATAAGCCTCATTCGTTAAAGAGAATCTAAAAGCCTTACTATTGGCTGATAGTGGATTAGGTAGTTAATGAAAGTTGTGTAGTTAATAGGTAGTTGACTATATGGGGTATTATACCCATATGATTAATATAATTAATATTACTAATTAATGATTGTCTTTCTCTCTCTTTCCATCATCTTCTCCATAACCCTCTCTTCTTCTTTTTTTGGTAGGACCCTCTAATATTATGATTTAATATTTAATCAAATATGAACTTAGTATTTTTCCTTTTTTAAATGGGAATTGAAAATTAAACACTTCGTAGCAAACTTGCAATGTAATATTAACGTTTAACAATGTCATTATTAACATTTTATAAAATTAATAATTATTAGTATTTTCGTTGCATGTGTTTAGGATTTATGTTGTTAAGTATTGATAGCACCATATTTGCACCCTTGTTTCTTAACTGTTTTTTCTCGAATTTGTGGTGTCTTGGTATATTTTACACTAGGTTGTGTTATTTTGTCATATTTCAGGTCCTAGCGAGTAGAGGGAGGCATAAGCACAAGTGTTGGGTCAATCAGAGGTCGTTTGATCACTCAAAAGCCTTTCAAAAGTGGAGTTGAGGAAGAAACACAACAACCTTCCCTAAAAGCACGTCCGTGCTTCACTCAGCACTCTACCAGTGCTTTTTATGTCGAGCGTGGTGATAGTCCAGGTGCAAATTACGGGCAAGCTTTCCTAAAAGCACTACCGTGCTTCACAAACGTCTTGCTTATGTTTTTAAAGACGAGGCTGGCCCTTGAAGAGTGCTGAAGAAAAGCAAACTACGGCCAGACAAAGAATTAAGCACGACCGTGCTTTAAAAAATTCTTGCGGTGCTTTACAAAACACTGTCGTTGTTTTACCCAGGCATGGCCGTGGAATTTCCCATCCTAGCTTAAGTAAAACGCACATTTTGGACAAAGCACAGTTAAAGGAGAAGCACGACCATGCTCTTGCCCGTATTTTGCCCAGTATCGGGGTAAATAGGCAGATTCGAGCCAAAAGGAGGGGAGTCGACTTTTTTAAGCTAAAACATAGTTTTAAAGAGAGAAAGTGACAAAGAACAAACCCTAGGAGCTATTTGAAGTGGGTTTCTCACCATTGAAGCCGAAATTGCGTCTCCAAAAGTAAAGATTTATATCACAGAGCATATTATTTGCATCTTTATGGGTATGACTGCTTTGATTTCTGTTTTCCTCTCTCTATATATGGAGTAGACCTTTCTCTCTCTTGGGTATGAAGAACCCTAGTTCCATGTCTTAGGATATTGCTTGCAATGACTTTTGGGATGATATACTGCTTGGTTTTAATCGATTGAAGTGTGTTTATTGAGTCAATTGAATTTTGATAAAATTCTCTTCATTTTTGCTTCGACCTGTGATAGATAGAATCCAATTAGGTTGTTAGAGCTTCTTCAATCGATAAGAGTGAATTGATTGTACGAGAGTCAATTAATTCATTGCTTTGTACTGGAATCCGTTTTTAGTAGTGCAGTTCTATGTGAATTGCCTTAGCATTCTATCCCGGTGAAGGCTAGTCTTCCGCCGGGTAGTCTATCTAGGAGGGCTTGGTCAACTTAAGAGATTCCAAACTACTTTCGGATCTTTCGCAGTTTAGTCAACAGTGCATCAACTAAGGAAATTACAACTTGAACCTAACTAAGGAGCTAGGGGGACTCATTCGGGAGTGTCTCTTCTCTTGCTTCAGAAACCGAACCATTTACTGCTTTCTTCCTGCTTTAGTTAAAACTCATTCTCACTCAAATTTCCCAGCTAGATAATAGCTAATCATGGAGTAGGCAGTAATCTAGACCCTGGATTGACTTTTATTACTTGATCCCACTATACTGCATCTCCATTCTGCGATTATACTTGGTCGCAGTTTGGTGTTGTGTCGTAGCGAGTCAGATATTCATTTGTGTTATTATTAATGTTTTTTAATAAAGATTATCTTGTATTGATTAGAAAGAGATCGAACAAATTACAATCTAGTATACAACCAAGAAAGTAAATCAAAAGAGCGACATGTAGTCGGATACAAAAAATGGGTCTTTCTAGCCACCAAGTGGGCCACCCGATTGCTATTCTGACCTACAAATCGTACAGTAATACCATGAAAATTTCCCAGCAAAACACGAACTTCTGCAAAAATGACTCCAAAATGATTATCTTGAGCACCTGTCAAATTTATCTTATTAATGATCACATTTGTGTCTCCTTCGATCCGAACCTATGAGAGACCACAATCCAGATACCACTGGATGGCCTTGCAAAGCACTAAAAGTTCAACTGTAAGATGGTCATCAACATGTTTTTTAATAATTTTACGAGGTATTATAACCTTTTTATGTTTCATTTTGTTTGTAATATTAGCAAATGTTTCATAAGTTCATTCACTATTATATTTTATTATCAATTTAGTTCGCAATGCTTTATAATCATTTTATCGATTTGAAGTATAATTAAAACTTTTTTTTCGACCAGGCGACCACTATAAATCATTAGCAATAATTTATCAGTGATTTGTATTGTTAAGATTTTTCGTTTATTTTTTTAACTTTGTGAAATGCCATTATCAATAAGCATGCTTGTTAGGTATCGTCTCTTTTATTATTAATGGTGTTCTGGAAGTTTTTCTAATAATTTTATATGATATTATTATTCTTTAAATGATTCATTTTGTTATGACATTAATAAAAGTGAATTTTTATTTAACGATATAAATATAGTTATTAAACTTTTAGTTTAAAATAATAACATAGTTGGTGTCGTTATTAATGGGTGTGTATAAGCATTATCAATATTTGACAAAACACGGTATTAATAATATCTAGTAAATACTTAATAATCATTAGTTGCATTATCCATGAAACACATGTTAGTTATTAACGTTTTGGCATATTTTTATAACTTACATATAATTATTTTATAAATCTGTTTTAGTGATGTTTGACATTAAACATTGCATCTGAATATTATTAATATTTTTTCCAATGAAAGTATATGTCCTTATCGGTGACTTGCTTATTTGTTATTAATGGTTTTTAATATCATTATTAAAAGCTTGATGTCATTTTTAAAGTTGAAGTGGAACATTATTATATTGATATTTTGTGTTTATTTTCAACGAAATACTTTTCGTTATCAACAATTTATTTTATTTTTATCCAAGTTTGGTGTTGAGGTGTGAATGTTGGTTTCTTGAATTAATATTTTTTTTACCAATATTTGCTTGACTAATCAAATGTGCACTATGTCGCAAATGTCGAAGATGCTGAAAATCAATATTGTGCTTTATGAACTATGTTCATTGAGAATGATAATGTAAAGCAATATCAATTGATCGCAAAACATTAACAATGACATTAGGAATCATTGGAAGAGGTCATGGCTAGATAGTTATAAACATGACGTTTGATAACACTCAAATTTGTTTTGTCCTTCATATTTAGGTTTGTCTCGTGCTAATTCGTGCATATAATCACAAGAATATTGTCAATTGCATCCCTCTTTCGTTCCTATTTGATTATGATGTGATTTTAAAGGGCTTTAGACAATATATGTGAATTAGGTACGAAAAGGGGGCACAAGTGTAGCAAAGTGGGCAGGAAGCTGAAGAACATGACCTGAAGGGGAAGATCTCGACCAAGAAAACAAGCCACGAAGCTGGAGTGAAGATCGCGGCCCGAGAGCCTAAGATCGCGACTACGAATTTGGAGGGCTTGGGCGCGAATTTCGTGATGAAGCTAACCGAGAAGAAATATAGATTTTCGCTAGTCTGATCACG